CTGTTGTAATTTATTGTCTTTTATTGTGATTGTAGTAATGTGTTTTTATTACATGTACAGCACTTTGGCTCGACCAAAAATCGATTTTAAATGTGCTTTATAAATAAAACTTGATTTGATTTGAAATTCCTTGTGCATTTAAGCAGTCAATCTTTTCATTGTGAGATTTTTTTGTTCATGTTACATGTTTCAGAGGTGTGTTCTCCTGCACAAAATACACAGCGCCTCTTAACAGTAATGCCTTTATGGTCTGATTTGATGTTTTGGAAAGGTTTTTGCTCCTCACTGATTATTGGGCTTGTCACAGTAACACAACTACTTCCCTTATAACCATGAGCAGGCTTATTGCTGGGTGATTTGTACACTTTAATATCCCTTTTTGGCATGACATCCTGTATGTCTCCAAACATGGGGTCTGATGCAATGCGTGCATGCTTTTCAATGAAGTCGACCAATATTGGAAACTTTGCTCTTGTCTTATTGTGTTCATAGTATGCATATGCAGTTGTTCTCCACTTTTCCCTAAGTTTAAATGGGAGTTTCATGATCACATTTCTCATGTTTGATGTGCTATTCATTTCATCCAAAAACTCAACATCTTCCATTGTGTTGCAACATCCACGAGCATAATAATGCAGTGCTTTTCTATCTTCACTCTTGATGGCATTCCAGTTCAACATTTTGTCCAAACAAGCTGCTGCGATTAAGAGTTGATGTCCATAGTTCTCTTGGAGCAGTCTTCCAAAAAGCCCTTTTTAGAATCCATGTATTGGCAACTTTTTACCAAGTCTTTAGCTTGGCCTTCTGTGTACTGCTCTAGAAAGAACAGCCTGTCTTTGTAATTGTCAGTTTCATCTTCTATTTTATTTTTCAAACATTCTGATGAATGAAAGGTACTGTAATGGATCTCTTTTAAAGATGGGTATTTCTCTGGATGGGAGTAATGTTAAGCGTTGCTCCTTCGTTAGTATTTCAGTGATTTCGTTTTGTCACTGCGTTACTTGAATAAAGTCATTGCTTTCTGTCCGAGAGCTTTGTCTGACCTGGATGGAGTGATGCTGCTGTCCTTGTTGTGGGCCTTGGTTGTAATACTTGTACATGACCACTAGGGGCTGCATGACTTGAGTTTATTGAATTGGAGTCTATAGCCGCGTTCACACCGCAGTACTTTTCCCACTTTAGTTCCGATATAGTTCCGAAATGTCGCGTTCACACCAAAAAGAGCCGGAACTAAAATGAGTTAATCGGAACCTTTTCCACCCCCTTTTCCGTCCCTGCTAGAGAGCAGGTACTTTCGTGGGAGAAAAAGGTTCCTATGTCTGATTGGCTGGGCGGATTGCAAGACACGCCCCGTAAAACTCCCAAAAAGTTTTGTGAAACCGCCATTTTATTATCCTCACATTAGCATTATTAGCATTAGCATTAGCCCAGCGCACCAACGCAGAGAGACTAACTTATGGCAACACAAAAGAAAACATGGGAGCGGTGGAGATGAGGAGGTGTCGGCGTTCTGGTGATTTACTCGGAAGGCTTCAGTAGAAGCTGCTGGGAGTCCTAGTAGCTTCTACTGAAGCCAGTCCCCCACTCCGGGGACTTCCGGCCGGGGACTCCGGGTGGGAGTAGACGCTGTGAAGTTGTTTGCGGCCTGCCAGTAAACCCAAAGCAGAAGAAGAAAAAGTGACGTCAGCGGCTTCATTTGCCTAATCCTTCCCCAGGAACTTATTCCGGTGTGAGCGCGATCTGTACTACTGTATTAGTTCATGAGAACTAAAGAGTTCTCATGAACTAAGTTCTCATGAACCTTTGTGGAAAAAGTACTGCGGTGTGAATGCGCCTTATGAAACTCTTTTTTATTATCCTTCTCCACAGGTTTTCCTCGGTTCTCTTCATCCTGGAAATCATAATTTTCAGCTGGCTGACCATTGTCACACTGCTCCTCTCCCACATGAGGGTCAGGATCAGATTCATCATTATCTGAAGCTTCCAATGTTTTAATTTTGGCTGTTGCAGCATCAATATCAGTTTGAAGCTCAAGCTTTTCCATTTTAGCTCTGATATTGGCTTTCATTGCTTCCAGGTCAGCTTCTTGTTTTTCAAGTGAGTGTTTCTGTGGTAAGGCAACAGCGTGTGCTATGAGCCCAGCTCTCTCTGCCTTTCTTCTTACTGATGAAGCTGTTGAAGATTTATCATAGATTTTATAGCTTTTACCTTTTTTGCTTATCATGCCCACTGATATTGCTTTATGTGGACTTGACATATATGCAGTATATGAGCCATGGTCAGAAGGAGGCACATTCTCAAAGGAGGCAGCTCTAGCTAACCATCACATCTTGAAACTCATTGAAATATGCCATTTTTGGGAGATACCAGTCAACATGATCACTTTCTTGTTCTTGCTCTGACAGCATTTCTTCCACTGAGTGATGTGAGTTTGAAAACTCTTTGGAGAGTATTTGAAAAAACCCACGACAACTTTGCATCTCAATGATATTCCCATAATCATGTGAATCAATCAAAACAAGTTTCCTTGAGACTTGACCCAATTTCGTTTTCCTTTTTTTAATTAACTGCACCAGCTTAGCTTCTAAAGCCTCTTCTGTAGGTCTTATTGTTCTTTTTGGTCTGACGTCAGCATTTTCCACAGGTACTTCACGTTCATTCACGTTTGGGTCCATAGGAGTTTCATTCGTTTCCACATTTTCCTTTTCAGCCATGTTTATGCTTTATTGTCGTTGAACATCCACGTGTAAATAGCTGTCCTTATTTTAATGTTGCGCTATGTTGTTGTGCGGCTTGGATCCGCGGCAGTAAGCCAGATAGACAAACGTATTAACCTGTTACGCACCTTCCGCCCGGTACCGGGCGGATAAACGCGTCATTTGCAGGAAACAACGTCTAAGGAATCTTAATATTGAATAAAACTATGAATGTGTTATATCCATGTAACGGGAAGAAACTCAGCTAACTGATCTTTTTAATTTTTTTTTCAAAAAAAAACCACAATGCTAGCACTCAGCCTCTGAATTAGCCACAAGCGAAAACATGGAACGTAATGCGGCACTTAAACTCACTCAGAACTCCCTTATTACTTATCCTAGATGCACAACCAAACACTCTTTTTTGGTGTCCTGGAGACACTGAATCTAACGGTGCCCTCCTCAACACTCAGTGATAAACATTCGCGACGCTATAAACGAAAGCGTACATCATCACATGTGGAGCTAAGTAGCTAAACACGTAAACATGGCTTACCTTGGTCAAAAGTGGTCTTCAATGGCATTAAAACGATAAAAAAACGATGCTGCAGTTAATCCATAGGTTCATCCAATGTATCTGTGCCTTCTTTGAAATTATTTCTGATAATCCATAAGCAATACAACTGCGTTTTAGTTTCCAAACTCCAGAAGGAGACATTCTTCCACTTTGCTTTCGTTTTCCACACGCGAAGCGCCCACATTTTTTCTTTACAACGTGTGTGGGTGTGTGCCTCTCCCTTCGATTCTATTGGCTCTAACGGTCACAAGGGTATGTCAACCAACCAAATCGACCAAGGGGGGCCAGAGATAGGTCAAATCCACCCAAATGACCCCAGAAGTGGGGGTTTTTGGCTAAATCTCTCTAAAAAGGTCAAATTTCACTTGTTTTGCATCAATCTTGATACAGGGTACTTATTATATGTTGTACTTTGGATTCCTAAAGCTTTTAGTCTACTAACCCATCATCCAAGGGTAGTTTTCACTATCTGTAAAAAATTATTTTTGGACGGACACTATAATTTACAGTTTTTTACTATGTAAAATCTGAATTTTCTTTAAAATAAAAAACATTTATATTGATTCTGACACTTCTACATCCAACTCACAGGTTTATCATTACTTTGAGAACAAAGATTATTAATTTAACCCTTTTAGAAGGGAAGATATGGTCATTTGTTCTGGGAATGTCATTTTCGAGCCTGAGACCTGAAAAACAGGCTCAGGGCTTAACAGGTTAAAGCGCTTTTCAAGATACCCTCCTTGAGTTACGTTCCACACTTTATTCATAAGCAAATTTGTTCCACTTCCAGCATTAGACTATAATGTATTGCAACATCCACAACATGCATATATGTTGTACTTTGGATTCCTAAAGCTTTTAGTCTACCTTACCATCATCCAAGGGTAGTTTTACACAGCCGACTGCCAAGAAGCACGTACGAACTGCGCATGCGTGAGTGGCAATAACTCTCCTTACCAGCAGGCGGCGGTAGTAGTGTATTCGTAAAGCTACGTGGTGTGATGTCTGGGTTTGCTTCCCCTGGTGCGAGTTTTGATCGCTCAGTGATGATACTTGTATTTCTAGAATCTGTGGAATCTCAGCTTGCTAGCTGATATATTGTTTGCAGATCTGAGTAATAAGGTAATATTTTACCGTGAGTTCTTTGCTAAGTGCGTTAGCATTTTTTCGCTCAGGGCTAATTCAGAGCCTTTGTATTACCCTTGTGTTTCGTTTAGCTAACAATGGTTAATATTGTCTGATAGCTGAGTTTCTTCCCGTTAAGTGGGTATGACACATTCATAGTTTGTTAAAGGTCCCATGTCATGGCCATTTCTACTGATCATAATTCCATTGTTGAGGTCTACTAAAATAGATTTACAATTTTCCAAACTCACATTGGTATCTCATACAGCATCTCTGTATAGTATGTGTATTCACTCTCTGTCCTACACGGCTTGTTGGAGCTCCTGCCCCCCCCCCTCCCTGTGAGTCCACTGTGCTCTGATTGGTCAGCTCGCCCACTCTGTTCTGATGAGTCCACCACCGTTACAGCGGAACATCAGTGATTATGTGTTACAATGGCGTTAGTTAGCAACCAGTAATGACAAACAGATGAGAATGCTGCGTGGGGTCTGGGTGCCGTGTTGGAGGGACGTTGCGAGGCTCGCTGCTGCTCACACAGACTCACAGCCTCGCCGCGTCCCGCCGTCTCAGGCTGAGAAATCCGCGGAGCTGCAGCTGAAAAAAGATTGAGTGTGTGTGAGGAAGTCCATTGGTCAATTGGACCAATCCGCGGACATAACGTAACGGCTCTGCGGACGTAACATAACGGCTCCGCGGACGTAACATAACGGCTCCGCGGATTGTCCATTTGGACCAATGAGTCCATTTTGGTCGTCGTTACGTCACTTGGTACCAGGAAGAAAAAGAGAAATCTCCAACGAGGCGTTCTGGGGCAGCTTAGACAGGCCTTTTCTGTGTTAGAATTGTACTCGCTACAGGGTGTACTTTGAGGGTTTGTGACTCTGCAGACCGTTTACATGCATAAAAAGCTACATAACACACAAGGGCACGGGTAATAACTGGAAAAGAATGACATGGGACCTTTAAATGTTAAGAAGCCCTCAGACGCTGTTTCTTGCAAGATGTTGCGTTTTGCTCCCGCGAAAATGTCATTGCAGTATCATTACTTTTACTTAAGAAGGTGCTGTACATGTTTCTGTTAATACTTGCGAACGTTTACTTAAATAAGGTTTGAATGCAAGATTTTAATTTGTAACGGAGTATTTTCATTCTATAGGCATAGTGTATCTGTGAACGATGCCAAATACAATTCCTTGTTTACATTGCAGCTACTGCTAAACTGGAACTGGAAAGGGGCTGGGCTACAGAAGGTGAATTGAGACAACAAAAATACACAATAGGTGGAACTAAGAAAGATAATATGAAAGTAAAAACAAAGGCATTAATTAGGGCTGCAAAATATCTCCCATTTTAATGGTGATCAGATTTTGAAATGCTAATACTTAACCGTTTTTTCTGACTGTGTGTTTCCTGTTACCTGCAGACGTCCAGCTGCTGGTGGTGGTTAAAGAAGAGGTTCTCCCTGACCAGCAGGATTGGAGCACCAGTCTGGACCAGGAGGACCCAGAGCCCCCCCCACACATTAAGCAGGAACAGGAGGAACTCAGGATCAGTCAGGAGAGAGAGCAGCTTCAGGAGCTGGAGGAGGCTGATATCACCAAGTCCACTTTCACTCCTGACCCTGTGAAGAGTGAAGATGATGAAGAGAAACCTCAGTCCTCACAGCCTCATCAAAGACAAACTGAACACATGAAAACAGAAGCTGATGGAGATGACTGTCGAGGACCAGAACCAGCCAGGAACTCAGATCCAGAGAGCAGTTTACAACCAAAGACTGAGTACGCCACTGGAGACTCTTCTGAACCTAACACTGGAGACTCTTCTGAACCTCACATTGGAGACTCTTCTGAACCTGACACTGGAGACTCTTCTGAACCTGACACTGGAGACTCTTCTGAACCTGACACTGGAGACTCTTCTGAACCTGACACTGGAGACTCTTCTGAACCTGACACTGGAGACTCTTCTGAACCTGACACTGAAGACAGTGCTGATTGGAAGGAGACCAGAGAATCTGCTTCAGCCTCAAAATCACTGAAAAATAGACAAGAATCTCTCAGTGATTCAAGCCGTAGTGCTGTAAAGAAACAATTTGGCTGCTCTGTGTGTACGAAATATTTTGCATTAAGTCAAACTTTAAAAAAACACATGAGAATCCACACAGGAGAGAAACCATATAGATGCTCAGTCTGTAAGAAATGTTTTTCACAGAGTGGAAGTGTAAAGGAACACATGAGAATCCACACAGGAGAGAAACCCTTTAGCTGCTCATTTTGTTCCAAATATTTTGCAGTTAGTGGCAGTTTAAAAAAACACATGAGAATCCACACAGGAGAGAAACCATATAGATGCTCAGTCTGTAAGAAATGTTTTTCACAGAGTGGAAGTGTAAAGGAACACATGAGAATCCACACAGGAGAGAAACCCTTTAGCTGCTCATTTTGTTCCAAATATTTTGCAGTTAGTGGCAGTTTAAAAACACACATGAGAATCCACACAGGAGAGAAACCATACAGATGCTCAGTCTGTAAGAAAGCTTTTTCACAGAGGGTAGGTTTAAAGGAACACATAAGAATCCACACAGGAGAGAAACCATACAGATGCTCAGTCTGTAAGAAAGCTTTTTCACAGAGTGGACATTTAATGGAACACATGAGAATCCACACAGGAGAGAAACCATACAGATGCTCAGTCTGTAAGAAAGCTTTTTCACAGAGTAGAGGTTTGAAGACACACATGAGAGTCCACACAGGAGAGTAAATATACAGCTGCAATGTTTGTGACAAAAGATTTAAATGGCATGGTTATTTCAAAAGACACAAGTGTGTTGGTCATCAGTCCTCACAACTTAATGAAATTCAAACTGAGGATAACAGAGAGGCAGAGCCTCCAATCAGCTGAACACATGGAAACAGAAGCTGATGGAGAGGACAATGAATAAGTCTTAAAGGGCCCATGTCATGGCCATTTCCACTTATCATAATTCCATTGTTGAGGTCTACTAAAATAGATTTATACTGTGCAATTTTCCAAACTCACATTGGTTTCGCATACAGCATCTCTGTAAAGTATGTGTATTCACCAGAGGTGGGACCAAGTCATTGTTTTGCAAGTCCGAGTCAAGTCTCAAGTCTTTGCGCTCAAGTCCAAGTCAAGTCTCAAGTCTTTGCGCTCAAGTCCAAGTCAAGTCTCAAGTCAGGATGGGCAAGTTCAAGTCAAGTCCAAGTCCTTTACTTTGACAAAACGAGTCTTAAACAAGTCCTTATGTGCTTTTCAACAAATGTAATAACATCGATCAACAGAATAATACTTAATAATCAAACTGCTCTTTATTAGTCACATTAATCATTTAATAATCCATTTTCTCTCTGCTGGTAAAGTAACGTGTTTTCTTCTATTTTAAGAGGGATAAGTAAGGTAAGGCTACCGTGACGGTTTGATTCAGAAGGAGTTTAATGTATAAGATCCCTGATGTTAAGGTAACCAGAATGATTATTTCCCAGTGTTAATTTTGGCAGCTGTTTTTGATTTAGTCTTAGTCTTAGTCTTTAGACGAAAATGGTTATTAGTTTTAGTCACATTTTAGTCATTCCTATCCTTCGTAGTTTTAGTCTAGTTTTAGTCGACGAAAACTCAAAACGTTTGTCAACTTTTAGTCGATGAAAAATTACATTTTAGTCAAAATGTTTTCTCTCTTTAAACTAATTCAGTTAGGCAAATACAGGTTTCTGACATTGTAATCAAGGTGACAGCATCAAGTGTTGAAATTCGTAAAGCAACATTTCATTCTCTTAACACTTTACTTGTGTAATATATAGGGATGGGTATCGCTAAGGTTTTTAACGGTACTACTACTCTTATCGAAACTGCTTATCGATCCGGTACTTTAACGGTATTCTTGTATTTACTTTTTGTTATTTTTTAAAGGGAAAAACTAAACAAATTGTTAACCGAATTAACATTGCTTTATTTAAATGTGAAATAAATAAATAAAATATGTATAATTATGTTATTATATTGTACTGTACTTGAGTAAAATGTTGAGGTACTTGTACTTTACATTTAAATGTTTTGCTACTTAGTACTTCTACTCCACTACAGTTCAGAGGTAAATGGTGTACTTTTCCTCCACTACATGTATTTAATCCCTTTAGTTACTTCACAGATGTGGATGAATGATGTGAAATATAATCAAGTGTTAAATCAGACTTTAGTTCCACCTGGAGTAAATTCACAAGCTACCCTGCAGTATACAAAGTCATTCAAACTAGCTGCACCTTTACCAGCTTTGAGAACACTTTCATGATCAATCATTATAAAACATATCATATATATTATTCTGAAATGGACCCATCTGCACAATGACTACTTTTTCTGTCGCTACTTTTATACTTTTACTTGAGGAACATTTTGAATGCAGGACTTTTACTGTAACAGAGTATTCATACACTATGGTATTTTTACTTAACTACAAGATCTGAGTACTTCTCCCACCTCTGCGCACCTGATGTGATAACGTTACTCGTAATTGGCTCAACAGAGCTACGAGTTAAGGAAGTCGAAAATTGTGCATTTCTCCGATTGAATATGACGCCTTTTGGCCGGCTGTTTGGACAGACTACTCTACTCGTGTCAACGCGCTTACGCCATAACACTAATGGCAAACAAGCTTTTTCCACATCGAGCCTTGTAGAGTGTCTCGATACTTCTGAACGCTCCGTCCCCGGCAGATCTCTGTGTGCCGCTGCAGCGTGTCTGTTAGGCCCCGCCCCCCGCACACAGAGACACAGGGAGATCGCTCTTCTGGAGTGAAGAGAGCGGAAATAATGATATTGCAAGTTAGAAACGTAAGATGCATTTTGACAGACAAGACGGACACTTGGGGGAAAATATGCTGCATTTTGAATGTCCGATAGTCCACCATTAACACCTTAGTCCCGTCTCGTCTCGTCAACGAAAACTAAATATACATTTCGTCATAGTTTTCGTTATCAAGAATCTATTTTTAGCTCGTCATCGTCTCGTCTTAGTCATGTAAAAAAGTCGTTGACGAACATTTTTCGTCATAGTTTTCGTTGACGAAATTAACACTGTTATTTCCACTGTGTACAACATGTTATAAGGGACCCACAATCTATCTTCATGCAAGGGATAATGTGCAGCGAGGCGTCTCTATGGGGAAAAGAACACCTGAATCTAGATCCCTCTGCAGGTGGTACTTTAAGTATATTTTGATGCTAATACTTTTGTACTTTTACTTGTAACATTTTGAATGCAGGACTTTTTATTGTAACCGAATATTCCTACATTCAGTTACTTTTACTCAAGTACAAGATCTGAACTTCTCCCACCTCAGACAATAAATGGAGTGGTTACCAAAAAAAAAAACCTGCTCTGAAGGTTATTTTCATTTTACAAATCCTGCACTCAGCTTTGCTTTCTCCAATATCATTGAAATGCAGCCAGATGCTGCTTCTTTTTTCGGTTTTCGCTAATTTCTTGACTTTTTCCGACGCGCTTGCATTTAAATCCGGCTCCCCGTCTCCCCGTCGCTCTGTGTAGCTGGCCTGTACCACTACACCTGCTGTCTTTCGAGCGTCTGCACCCTTCTTTCACATAATGGTATGATCCCAGTGTGTCCTCGCATATGATTGGCTGCATGGTGGCTCAGCAAAATAAAGTCCCGCCCCTGCCTGCATGGATTCACAGCAAGAGTAGGAGCGGCTGAAGATTCTGCTCTCCCCGACGGGAGTCTGCTCTTCTAGCGGCATCTCGCGATCGGCGTGTTGGAGACCCCTGAATTAAAGTATCAAGTCACCTCAAGTCAGAAGGCTCAAGTCCAAGTCAAGTCCCGAGTCATTGGTGTTCAAGTCCAAGTCGAGTCGCAAGTGTTTTGTGATTTTGTCAAGTCGAGTCCAAAGTCATCAAATTGGTGACTCGAGTCTGACTCGAGTCCAAGTCATGTGACTCGAGTCCACACCTCTGGTATTCACCGGTATTCACTCTCTGCCCTAAACGGCTTGTTTGAGCTCCTGCCCCCCCCCTCCCCCCCCCCCCCCCCCCCCCCCTCCCTGTGAGCCCAGTGTGCTCCGATTAGTCAGCTCGGCCACTCTGTTCTGATTAGTCAACCACCAGAGAGGCTCCGCCCATGTCTAACACAGTGTTTTTTCGGCTCTGAGCGGAGCATCAGTTTTTGTATAAGCTAACCTATGTTTGCTAGTTCAGTGTAATATGCCAACCTACTGTGAACAAAAGCTAGTGGTTCATATTAGGCTAGCAATAACGTGTTTACAATTGCAATCTTATACGGTAGTCTGCTACGTGTCGGTCATTCTTTTTAGCTTGCATAAAAACAATGTTTTTCCTAGCATGTCTAGCTATAGGTAGCCCTGTTGTTTAGCTTTGTAGCATACATGCTAGGAAAGCCAACTATAATGTAATTAAGTTTCGCGACTGACCGTACGGTAAATCACCCGGAGTATACTGTCTGAGTATTTCGTGTGTGAATGCAGACATTCTCCTGCTATGAGAAACATGTAAGGCCATCTGCTGACATTGTAGTTGATATATGTAAACGCTAGCAACTTTGTTAGCCCAGTTAGCACTGTTTTGAACTGAACCTGAGATTCCAACAGTATATATGCTTGGCTGGCAGAGGGTGCGTCATAGCTCTGGGCGTGGCTACTGGGTATCCAGACGTCACGATGCCCAGGAAGAACATGAGAAATCTCCAACGAGGCGTTTTGGGGAGGTATTTTCTGTGTTAGAGTTTTACTCCCTACAGCAGTGGTTCCCAAACTGTGTGCCGCGGCACACTGGTGTGCCGTGAGGCAAGTCCGGGTGTGCCGTGGGATTTTGTGACAACCATACGTGATTATTGCAATATACAACTACACAAAAATAATTATTTTTTAATTTACTATATCAGTACTTTGTATGCACTCATTTCATAATACAGAGGCAAACTCTATACCTAAAAACAATTATTTTAATAAAAATCCTCACGGAACCCCATATTTCGCAGGTAACGCAGTTGCAGGTGGGAATTATATGACCGTGACACACCGAAGGCTGAAGGACAACATTAAAACAAAGAAACACGCAAGAGGGAAAATGGAGCGCTTTCTTGTGCGGAGAAAACCCACCACCGAAAGAAAAGAGAAAAAAAACTGTCAGCAGACAGTATCATGACAGTTACCTGTCTTATGGCTTCAGTTGGACCGGGGATGGCAACAATCCTCAACCCGAGTGCGTCGTCTGTCGGGAGAAGTTAGCTAATGCGAACATGGTTCCAAGCAAGCTGAAGAAGCACTTGGAAACCAAACATCCCTTCCATGTTCAGAGAAACTTGGCCTACTTCATAAGAGCGCGGGATCTGAACCAGAGGCAGCAAGACCGTTTGTTGGATTGTGTGAAAGTGTCTGAAAAGGCAATGGAGGAGACACTCATCCTCCCGCTTGCAAAAAAATTGTAGGTATCATGCTGGGTCCAGATGCCGCAAATGAGCTATCCAAAGTGCCGTCGTCTGATAATACCATCAAAAGAAGAATCGACGACATGTCAGAAGACATTGAGCAGCAATTGACAGAGAAACTGCAGGCGAGCGGCATGAAGAACAACAGGAGGTCACGGCTCTCTGTTGAACAGGACTTGCGAGTGGCCCTCTCCTCAGTGCCACCAAGGATTAAAAA